CTGTTATTCCTCAAAGTCTTAGCACTACTGGTGTTTTGTTTTCAAATGCGGTTGCTCTGCTTATAGTGCTAAGACTTTGAGGAATAACAGCATAAGTAAAGTTGTGGAAGTGTTCAAAAAGATAGGTGAGATGTCCATGTTGATAGATAAGTGTTAAAAAGCCCGATCATTTTACGTTTTGGGGATAAATTTTTGGTCACATCAGTTGGACCATTTGCTTAGATTACATCTATGGCAGAATGTGCTATAGCCCTGCGGCAGCGATCCGCGGGCTATAGTACTAGAGCTCAGTTTGTCCATACCTTGGTTGATCGATTGCATGCACAAAAGTCTTCACATCTGCTATTGGATGTGCGGCCAATTCAGCAATATTATTCCAGAAGTATGCCGCCGCGTACGTTGACAGAGTCAGAGACAACAGCACTATCAATAACAGTGTTTTCAATGAAACAAGTAGTTTAAACATCATGGTCTGTGCACTGGACGATACAAGTGTCTTGAAAGTAGGCCTAAGTATGGAATAACAAGGTGTTTTTAAACCAGTCGAAAGATGCCAAACAGCCGTCACACGTTATTGGTAAACAACTAAACATCGCGTTTTTACACATGGGGGACAATGATTTATCCCAGAATGCTGTGCGCAATTGCCCACTACCACAGCAAATGATACAAACTCCACGACAGATGGCGCTCTCGCTCTGGCTCTACTATCCTATTCTATTCTATCTATTCTATATGTATTATCCTATCCAGGGGCGCAAATCCAGGGGGGGACAGGGGGACATGTCCCCCCACGAATTTTCAGAGGGGGGACATCATATCAAATGTCCCCCCCACGATTTTGGATCACCATGATTTTGTGTGCAAGTGTGTGTGTGTGTGTGTGTGTGTGTGTGTGTTTGTGAAGTGAGAACCTTTTTATTGTGTGTGATAGTGCGTCAACGATTGACTTCTTTCCCTTTTTTTCTTTTTTTGCCAGCTTTTATTTCATTCAAGTGCATTTGAGAGCATAATAATGATCATGCACAACTTGAGAAAAATGTGTCTTGATAAATTTAGTACCGTTTCTTTTTTAACACGTTTTTTTTTTCTTATATCAAATCATCTACCTGCTAAATTTTTTTTAAAGAATGGTGCAATTTGGTGCATTTTAAGCTATTCTGAACAAATTATAGGAGACTCTTGAATCACCTTTTCAAGTTGTCAAAATTAAGGTACAAACGAACTATAATAGGAAATCAGGGGGCTGAAAATAGGGCAAGTTTTTTTTATTAAATGTCTAGACAATGATATTTTTCTGTTTCCACCCGTCGCTTGCATTGTTTTACTCAGACATAAGCTGCCTTGCTGCGACCAGATTTGAATGAAAAAAACACAATGCGAATGGAACAATCAGTGCATAGTCATGCACACAACATGCACGCAGACACGCAGGCATGGTCGTTACTAACCCGACCAGGCTGTGTGACTAACGTCAATACACCTATTCCCTAGCAATACCGTTTCTTGGAGCTAGGTCGTTACGTGATCAGCTACCTCAAATGTCTGCCACTCTACTGCAGCCTGTGAACGAGGATTTTCTTTTCTGGTACGCAAAAACAGATACACTGTATACTTCGCTGTCAGTCTACTGCCTACACTTTAGTCTACAGTCAGGTGCTGTTGAGGGTATATAATTTAAATTGTTACATTGTTGCCCCCCTCCCAATTTTCTCAACGAATTTAGACGTTTCACAAAATCGACCCCTGGGACTGCCAAATCCGCCGATTTCCGCGGATCCGCGGAAGAATCTCATCCCTGCATACGTTAACGTAACAGAGCTAAACTACTACCAACGACTGCACTGCCGTGTCAGGGGCGGATCCAGATGAGACGGGATACTAGAGAAGCGTTGCCGAAAGGAGATGTTGATCCCAATTGCGCTGAAGCGCAGATCTTTCGCGCAGTTCCGCGGCAAGGCGCACGCGACCGCGGCAACGTCCTACGACAGTATGCAGCGCTGGCAGATATAGATCCGTGCGCCGAAGGACTTGGCGGGCGCACGGATCCATAGCTGCCCGCGCTGCATACTGTCGTAGGACGTTGCCGCGGTCGCGTGCGCCTTGCCGCGGAACTGCGCGAAAGATCTGCGCTTCAGCGCAATTGGGATCAACATCTCCTTTCGGCAACGCTTCTCTAGTATCCCGTCTCATCTGGATCCGCCCCTGACACGGCAGTGCAGTCGTTGGTAGTAGTCTAGCTCTGTTATGTTAACGTATGCAGGGATGAGATTCTTCCGCGGATCCGCGGAA